CCTTCCTTGCAGAGGCAGGGCAAGGGGAGTGGCCCAATCAAGACACCTTAGTGTTGGACTGCACCTCCCATTATCCCTGAGCATTGGCTATGTTTACTAAGGTTTATGGGAATTGCTGTCCACCAATATCTGGAAGGCCATTCATTCCTGAGCCCTGATCTAGAGTGCCACAGAAAGGATGCCATGCTTTGCTTTTTAGGCTGCGATCCTATATATACCCATACCTGCATGGCATTGTCCATGTTAATGCATTGAGCTAAGCGGGACTTAGAGCAGATCATGCTCTAAGTCACTGGTGGGCTGAAGGTGAATCTCCAGATTTTTGGAACTTTAACTCCCAGAAGTCCCTGCCAGCAGCATGACCAATGGCCAGGGATGCTGGGAACTGCAATCCAAAATAACTGGAGATCTACTCTCTGCCCACATCTGCAGTATATAGATGGCAGAAACTGGAACTTGGAAGGTACTTCCAAGATGGTGCTAGGCATGCATGGTGTGTGTGCAGATATATTAGCATGGTTGTGGTTGGTGAGACTCCAGGCTGACACAGGATAGCAGAGGAGGAATAGAATTAAGACAGTGGAAAGGCAGAAGTGCTGGGAATTAGAGAAATCAGAAACAGAAGCTTTCCAGTTGTATTACGGAGGAAAGTATGTCCCACAGAGTAACAAAGCATACTAAGAAAAGTTGTAGGAAATGAAGGGAAGAAAACTGTAATGACTTTTGGAGGACAATGGGACAGAAAGAGGACCACAAAGGGAAAAGAGTGAAAAGTTAACTACTGGGAAAGACCAAGATGTTGTGGTTGCTACATTGCATTTATATCCTACCTTTCTTCCTCTAGCAGTGAACTCAAGGTGGCTTACAAGGTTCACTACTCTACATTCTATCCCAACAACAATATTCCAGTGAGGAAGGTCAGGCTAGAAGTCCATGGCAGGCCCAAAGACGGTGGACTTCTTGGCTGAGTAGTGACTAGAACTTGGATCTCCTGAGTTCTAGTCCAACACTCTTATCCACTAAAGATGGCATAGAGAGGAAGAGAAGCACTTGGGAAAGCACTTGAGAGAAAGCAGCCACAAACTTCAGATTGCTATAAATTTCTTCTGCCCGTTTAGTGGCCCCCAGTGGCATAAATGGAAAGGCATGCACCATTAGATCCAGAATCACCAGAATTCAGTCTGTTCCAATGCATTTGCCTGTCAGCTGTATAATATCCCCCCTCCCCACCGTGTTCATAAAGCACCAGAAGCACATAGTGCACTTGAGCGTGGTAGGAAAGTTCTGGATGAAATTTCAATGCAAACCATCCCAAAACATCAAACTGAAAAGACCTTTCCAATACCACTAATCCTATTCTGTAAATAACTGGCTTTTTTAACTCTGTCCACTAAGATCCCAAGATTAAGTAATCACTGTCTTTCCCTAATTCATTAAGTATGCTTAGCCTTAGGCCCGGTGGTGCCTGATCCTCTTTTGAAATGAATCAGCAAAACTGCTGACAAGAGTCAATACCAAGCCAGCATTTCAAACCTTCAAGCCACAATCCTGGATTGCTGTATGTTATTAAGGCTTTTTCAGGTGTTTGCACTGCACAGGTTACAACACACAGGTTACTAAGGTGAAGCATATCAAAGGTGAAGGGCTGAAGCCATATCAGATAGGGAAAGAACTCCCTCATGATTCACTGGCAGCTTTTAATAAACTTTCCGCTGGAAGGGAAATCCCAGTTTTAGACTTTGCTATTTCCTCCTTTACATATTCCCAATGCTACACTAAAAGGTGGAGGGAGGGTGGGAGGGAGGAGAAAGTAGAAGCCTTCATCTGTTGACTTTTATCATTTTTAACTTGCATACACCTCAGTCCCACCAAGGACCAGAACATGGCAAACACCCACTTGGCATGGGCAGATGTTTGAAGAGGGCTGAATTGCAAAATAAGCAGTACAAGGATGCAAGGAAAAGTAGGGAATTCCCCTCAGCATTTTATTTATGCAGAGCTGTAGGTAATAAAGCTGATTAAGAATGCAATCCTCTGCATGTTTACTCTGCATCAGGTGTCCAGCACAACCCAATTTGCTAACCCAGACATCAATAACAGTTTTTTGCATCTATTTTATTTTCAGTCATGTGCATTACTTAGGGGAAAAAAGGCAGGGAGGGAAAACTGCATAAGAAAAAGAAGGAAATGATCGTATTGCAGTGAAAATGGGCTTCAACAACAGGTCTGCACCTTTAAGGACAGAGAATAACCTGGATATATACATTACATAAACATTGCCCCTTAACAGCTCACCTTGAAGTTTAGAATTCCATGCCTGTTCTACAGAAACTGGAACTCCAAATCAGTGTTACCTAAAAGATTAGGTATGATCATGGTAGTGGAGAAAAAAGCTATCTGGAGCTAATTAATGGATTCATAGTATTCACATCTATTTCACTGCTGGAGGTTAAGAATGCTCAGCCTAAGTTTATTATAGTCTATTGCCAAACATAAGAGTGCCTCTCTATTTCCAATGGTTATATGGAACAGTTATACACTTTCACATAGACAAAATCAGAAGCTCCTTTCAATTCCTGAACTGTAATAAGAGCCATCATGTGATTACCACCAAGTTGGGCCACACAGCTGACCTTGTCCCAGCTGACCTTGCCCCAGATTAAACTGTGGGTCCTGCCCCACTTAGCTATGCATCTGGAGGCAAAACAACATAACCCTATAGCGATTTAAAGATCTAACATTCATTTTGTTGTTGGCTTTTATTGTCTAGAACAAACACCCTTTGTCAGGGGTACATTATCTGTTCTTCAGCTGCACGTTTGGAGAAGGGAAAGGCATTTGGCACATGTTCAAAAATGCTGTCATCATTTCATGCTCCAATTTAAAAAGAGCTAGCTATGACAAAGCCAGCTATGGCACAGAAAGAAATATGCATGCATGTCTTGAACCTATCCAGGAAAATAGATGCACATTTTTACAGGTACCCAATCCATGTCCGTGTCCTCTCTTTGCTCTTTAGCCACAAGAAAGCATTTCTTTAAAATTTTCTTGTATGATAAGAAATTGCCTTTTTTTAAAAGCCTCATATGCAGCTCCATGAGCTGTGGAGTGAAAATGCCATCCCAGAGGAATCACCACAAAGCTATCAGCCAGCATTTACTTAATGCAATACTAGTACAGTGATGTCAGTTCACACATTCAGTTGAAGGCCATAAAGTAATGATCCAGGAACATAGGTTAGTGAATCAGCTCACAGCTGCTCTTTTTTTTTTACAATGCAGTCTGTTATCCACCAAGAATATTTGTTCCAAGTTTTGCTTCCTTTTAAATTCCCCCCTTCAAAAAAAATTAACGTATTCCAAACTGTTAAACTATCCAGAGAGCCTTGCCTTCATGCTGGAACTGTGATTTCAGATCTAAGACCACTGGTTTAGCTAGCTCCTCATTTTCTGCTCTGATTGGCAGCAACTCTTTCCCAATCCTGCCTGGAAATGCCAGTGTTTGAACCTGGGAAAGCCTTAGTGGTCACAAAAAGCTGCATGTTACTTGTTGAAGAAAAATCAACTAGCTGGGAGGAATGGATAGATGGAATCCAGAGCAGGATAGCTCCTGTTGCAAGCAAAATTTACATAAATCACATCTGAACATTTTGTCACTCCCAACTGAAAACTTTATTTTCATAAAATACTCATTCCTGTCATTTCCCTACTTAAGTCTAGGGATTGGAGTATCACTGTGAGGGAAGTTTGCACAAGTTGTTAAAGTTCCACCTCAAAATTCAACCTATCACATTCCTGTTCCTGAATGCAAGAATGTTGTTGTTATTTGAATGAGGAAAGTATACACTTGGGAGCAATGTTTTTCCTTTAGTAAACATGATCCAACTGCACAATTTCCCGATGCTGAATAAAACATGCAAACACTTCAATTTTTCCAAACTGCATTTTAACATGTGCATTTTTTTCTAATGTTTGTGTCTAGGAAATGTAAGCTCAGAAAGACCTGCACTTTGCCCCCAAAATGTACTGGCATTTGTGTTCAGAGATGCAAACACATCACATTTTGAAAAACCTGAAATGAAATTTTCAGATGTTCTTACTTGAATCATATTCTGATTCAGAACATCTACACGACTGCCCCCAAGTGGAGATACCTTAAAACGTCAACGTTCTCAATGCCTTCAACACTAAAAATTGCAGTGTGGGTTTTTTCTGGGTTTTTTAAAAAACCGATTTGTTCTCCAATACACAGAAACAATGTGATCCAAGGGGAAGCGTTTATGCATATAGAAACTAATGGGTTGGAGCATACCTGTCTATTAGCTTGCAGCCTAAATGAGTTTCCTATTCAATTTCAGGAAGATTAATTATTATATTGATATGCTGCCCCATAACAAAAGTTTCTCAGGGTGGCTCAGACAAGCTATTATCATCCAGTTTATTGCCCTTGATAATCCAATAAAGCAATGAACACTTTAGTAATCCAGATAGTATATGGAAACATTAAAAATTTCTGAGCTCCATTTAGATACAAATGATCCTACATAGTTTTAATTATTTCATCACTGTTTACTATTTTTGTGAGCCTATATTATCAGCATAAAGAAATATATGTATGTTACTTTTCTCAGATTTCCCATACTTTCTTTGTCTAAAGGATCTAGAGGTGTAGTTGAAAGATTTTGCAATTAAGAATTTAGCATCAGAAATGACCAATGAATTCAGCATTACCAACCTCAAAACTCAAAAAAGGGGTAGATTAATTATTTGCTATTATAAAAATGTGTTTCACTCAATCTTGGGCACACTGCATAATTTGCTTTCATAGTGGAAGGAACAACACAGCTTTACTGAGGACTGGAACGTTTCTCTGTACATTTTCTATGCAATGTGCAACCAAGTAACAAACTGAGCATATGAAAGTTTGTTCATTGATATATCAGATGCATATTATCATTACTGCATTCACAGTCAGCAGATAGAGATCAAATGATAACGTACCTGTGAACATGTGACTCCACATTCTTCAATCCTAGGAATGAGCTGATCACCATAAATTCCCCAAAACATAGCAAGAAGATACCATTTAAATATCATCTCTGGCTAGTTTTGGTTTCTGTTTTTTTAGATGAAATCACTTTCCTGTTTTCTTATTGATCATTAAAAACAAATCTCCATTTATCCTCTAGGAAGAGTTTTGCCACTCTGACATTCATCCCCTTGTGTAAAAACTTTTAAATACTGTGATATGACTAACCCGCCCCACCCCCAGTCCCACTGAGATTAGCTCCTCCTCTTTCTTTGAAATCATTCAGAGCTTATTCTGTTTTGTTTCTTCAGGCCAGAATGACTCAGAATTAGACAGTGAAGTTTGTTACTTGAAAGCTGCACTTAGCAGTGAAAGCTCCACTTATGTTTCACAGGCAACCCCACTTGCTTCCATTCAGAATCAAACTTCCTTAAGTCAGAGCAAATTTGGTTGTCAGTCAACAGTGTAAAGTCACTATGAAAATATTTGTTGTTGTTAATGATGAGGACTATAAATAATAATAATAGTGACAATGGAAGAATTAATTATGAATGAATAATGAATTAATCTTTTAATCTATTTAGTTTTTTCTATGTTTATAAAAATAATAAAACTAGTAGTAACAGTTGCAACGATGCAATGTTTAATGGTCTTTAAGCATTATATTATTGTTTATTATTGTTGTTACCCACCTTGGGCATGATTCATGGAAAGGCATAATATCAATATTTATAATAAATAACAAATCAAAGGATGACAGATTCTTGGCTCCAGGGACTTATACAGTATGGAAACAGACATAATGAAGATTACAGGGGAAGAAGTTGTGATTATATCAGTCATACATATTTGGGTTTAGTTACATTAAATCAGGACCATCCCAAACAAAGGCAGAGTGAGACAGCCAGCTCAGGAAGCTGATGGGCATGAAATGGACCATGCTATATGTGCCATATGATCTAAGTTACCCACCTGTCCCCAGGTAATGCAGGCTGCTGTCATCTTATCAGTACTGAAATAAGATTTGACAGACAGCTTGATTGAATTTTGGACACAGAATCATGCATGATGGAGACACCTTGTCCTTTGCCTCAAGAACCAAATGTTTTGTGCTAGTTCTGCAGTGAGGTATTGGGACTAAGGGACTGTATAAAAACTTTCATGGAAAAGATTGGTATCAAAAAGGTATTTGAAGGAATTAGGGAGAGAAAAGGTATTCTTTAAAAATAAAAAATCTCACGGGTTGCTGTTTCAGGCAAGTGGTGCAGAAAAGTCACAGCTGTTCAGAAGCAGGATGCTTTTGAAAGGCTGAGGGTAGTGGAGTTGGGTGATGCATTGGGGAGATGCAAGGGGAGACAAGATCATGGATGGGTTTGAAGATAAGGCACAGGAGCTCAGCAGGTTAGAAGCCAGAGTAAGGATTTAATCAACAAGCACTACAGGAGGGGAATCAGAGAGGTAAAAAATTTGACAAAGGTGAGACAATGGAAGACCATGTGGGACTGATCGCACAAATCAAAGTGAGAATTAAATAGGATAGGTACTGTTTCTGGTTTTGTACCTGGTTTTGTCAGGGTGACAAATGGAAAGGATGTATTTTTGTAACACAAAGGGAGAAGTGATGTGATTGAGCGACGGTCTGCATAAAGGACAATACCGTGAACTTCTGAACTGTTCATACATTCAAAGAAGGGGTGGGGGGGCCTCTTTTGTCCCTGTACATTTATCAGCTGGAATTAGGTCGAGGGCTTACACTAAAAACCCTGCTGAGATAGGCACATGAAATTCCCAAATACAACTGAACAGCAACAATAGAATTTGGATTAATAAATAAGTAAAACAAAAATGTACGGAAAGTGAACACGAACTGGACAAAAAAGGGATTGTTGATATTTTTGAATAAATGAAGATGAAGGTATCTTCATGAAGATGAATATAAAAGTCTCAGTGAGATGGAAGTGATCTGAGTGTGTTTTTGCTGCATTCCTAGGCCCATGCTTTCAGGGCAGAGAATGTATATTGAAAGCACACCCACCAACTCATTAATAAATATTGATCAATTATGAAAGAAGATAAAGAATTTGTTTAATTCATTTCTATACCACCCAATTAGTCAAAACAAATTAAGTCTGGTTCACCATATTGAGTAGAAAGAAATAGAAATGAGGAATAGGAATATCAAGAAAATCTGGGTAAATGGAATGAATTTCTAAGACATCCACCAGATGCCCAAACATTGCTCCAAGCTTTCCTTCATTAATGAAAAATGGATCTAGCCTCTAACATTCTTCACATGCCAATGGGTGGCCCTGCATGTGAAAGGAGGCTGAGCCCCTCTCTGCAAGGATCACACTCTTACTTCTACCTGTTCCTCTTGTGGCAGGACAAGGCAGAAAGAGGGCAAACTATACTAGGAGCAGTAGAGCAGGTGACACCCTCAGGTAAGGTCTCATCACACTGAAGACTGTATTGAGCATGCAAAGGAACTAAGAGAAGAACAAGGTTATTTGGCCCACGGGGACTACTCCTGAATATCTAGGCATTTCATCTCCACTCTAAAATGGGTCGAAATTAACCAGGGCCCAAAACCTAATGGTTGGAGACCCCCATTTCAGACTTTGTTATCGATGCATCTTCCCAACTAATGAGAACATGGAAATAAGAAGGGCCAGTGTTTCTCAAGCCTTGAATGCATCTCCTATTGCAAGGGAATCTACATTTAGATATCCAATCTGCTTTCCAAGCCTTCTAAGGGTAGGATTTCTAAACAGGTAGCCCATCAAGCAAGGAAATATGGGTGAGGTGCAAAGATGAAACAGGAGCCACAGCTCAGTTGTAGAGCACATATTTTGCATGCAGAAGGTCTGAGGTTCAGTTTCCAGCATCTCCAGTTAAATTGAGAGCTGCTGTCCCACATGGTAGGCAATACTAGATTAGACCAACAAAAGATTCATAGAATTTATGAAGCTGAGGTAAAAAGGATGTTTGTAATCAATATACTAAACGTTTGTGATCCAAAATTCAAACTACCCTGTGAGATAGACCAGAAATATGCCATCACCTTTAAGAGAACTGACATAAGAACTTGGTGAAAGATACAAGCAATTTCACAATTTAGCAGACACTGGAGCCCATCTGACCTCTGCAGGTGTGCTTAGAATATCTTTCCCCAGTGAATATTTTAATATCTATCAATCTTCAGCATGACATAACAAAAGACTAAAGTCATTTTAAAGGGAAACACATTAGGGAATAAGTCCCAGTGAAACTACTGGAATGTACCTCTGAGTAAACAAGTTTTGGCTTACACTGCATGGCTACAATACTAAGTACAACTGGAAAAGGTCCCACTGGAAGGGGAAGGGCTCCTGCTCAATGGCAGAGCACATGGTCTGCATGCAGGAGAATCCGTTTTCAAACCTGACATTTCCAGGTAAGAAAGGAAACCCTGTCTGAAACTATACCTGTTCCCAGTCCATGCAGACAATGTGGAGACCATGCAGAATAATAGCATAACAGGCTCCAAGATCTTCTGGGAAGGCCCTTATCGTGGTCCCACCATGCCCATGGGCATGGTTGGTGGGAACATGGAAAAGGAACTTCTCAATGGCTGCCACAAAATTCTGGAATTCCTTCCTAGGCGGGTTAGGGTTGGCGCCTTCCCAGTTAAGTTTCTATATGGAGGCAAAACTCTTTTTGTTCCAGCAGGCATTTGGGAATGCACTGAATTAGTTTGACTGTTTCTATTTTTGTAGTCTTTTTTTAAGAAAAACTGGGTTGTGGTTCAATTTTAATATTTAATTGATTTAATTTTAAACTTTTGTATACTTTTGGATGTTTTGAATGTAAGAATTTCCATGCTGTGAGCAGCCTTGAGTCCCAATCACTGAAAATAGGTGGAATATAAATATGATGGTTATGGTGATGATGATGATGATGATGATGGTGTGTTCCCAAATTAGAGAGACCCCCAAAGAAAGATGTTTAAAATTGGCAAGTTCAGCTACTGTCCTAAACTGGGAAGCAGATCTCACTGAAATACAGACTATTGGAGCTCTACATTTACAACTACATTTACAATTGAAAAGACTAGCCCTACTCTGCTGAATTACTTCAGGACACATATTCTAGTGCATCCTTTCATGCAGCTTGCAATGGTCCATGGCTCTGAAGCATGGCACTTAAACAAAAAGAATCACACAGAAACCAGTTCCTTTGCAAAGCAACTTGATTTCTAAAAGTGCTGCATATAAAGGCTATTCTAATGTAGTTTTTGTTGGAAAAGAATTTAGCATATCTCACACAGTTGGTCGTGCAAAACATAGGCAACTCTGTGAAAGCTTTACATGGGTTATTAAAGGATTGCAGTCCATGATTCAATTTCAGGTCCAGAATTCTTCCCTCTCTCACCCCAGGAAGGAACACAGAATAAGTATATCAAAGTTGACCATTTTCTTTTTACAAAGTGCAACCAATAGCAGCAACATTTTCCACAGACCTGCTCCCGTTGCTTGTTCAAAACCATTTTCCAGAATTGATCTACGCAATCAGCCGCAACCTCATTTGGAATTACAAAATGAGCCATGGGCATTTTTCTGCAATTCTACTCCATATTATGTTACCAAGCATAACTATTCGATATGTGAGACAGATCGCAAATAAGAGTTCATCGTCTTGGTAGGCTGGCAAATGGTTAATATACACAAGATACAAAAAAAGCCACTGGAAATAATTGGAATTAATGGCCTTGTTGCTTGGAGATAGTGTGGTTGAAACTAGTCCAATTTCACTGTTTTCAACATGCTCTTTGTCCGCCTTTTCTATGCATTGCCAGAGCCAAGCTTGGGTTGTATCTTTTAGCTCACAGCTTCTCAGGACTAAACTGAAAGAACTAAAAGACTCAATCAGATCAATGTTTGTCATTTAGTAACCTACTTACTTTAGATTCTGCCCTAGCTACTTCTTTCAAAATAGTTGTGGAGTTCAGGCACAAGTTCACCAAATCTCTGATAAGCTGGGTTTTCAAAATGGGAGGCAGAGTTCAGTGTGCTAGCAAACGCAAGAGCAGAAGCTGTTTCTTCCCAACTTGTTTCTGTTTCAATTATAGATTTCACATATATTTGGATGGAGGAAGAACATAGACTTATGACCTCCTTTGGTATCCTAGTCAGTATAATATAGGCATTCCAGTAAGTGTTTTTCAACACAGATTGTTTGACTGGTGAAGCTCCATGTCCATGAAGTAACCCTTTTCTTCCTGGGATCATTGTCATCTTGCTAGAATCACCATTAGTGAAGGCATGTAACTATTCAAGAAGACCTTAAAAGCATGGCATGGGGAACAGCTCCCTCCATCTTTCTTCTCTTGCTTTCCTAGTATTGTGGCTAGGATAAAAGTTTTACCTGTCAGCTTGTCCCTGTATTTCTTCTCTAATCCTGACCATGCCTCTGAAAGCAGACTTTTCTGTTTAAAAATGATTATCCAGGTACTATTACATGCATCTACTTACAAGGTGCTCTAAGGAAACTTGAAATGTTTTGACTTGTATTAATAGCATAATGTCCATTGCTTTCACGTATTTCTGCAAGAGAATCGGCTACAGATATTTGACACTAAACAGGACCTTTCAGCATTTTTTCATTATTTTTTATACAAGTGCATTTTTATACACTTGGGCTTTGTTTTAGATTTAGGGAGTTTTTTCCAAAAGAAAACCACTTTCTCAAGGCACTTTGAATTGAGTCAAAAGTATTTTGGAGGGCCATAACATGGGACAGTCAGCCTGTTCTTTGCCATGTTCTCTGGAGGAGAACACGGACTCATGGGTAAGTATGAACCTCCTTGTAATACAGTCGCACAGAAAGAGTTGCAGTGTTTACAAGCTTTCTCTGACTGGAAACCTTCACAAATCAGGCATGGAGTCTTCTTGTTTTTGTTCTGCAGACCTTTAAATAGAGAGCAGACATGAACTCCCATCAACACTGAATTCCATCGTTTATAATCTCCCACTAATGGGGATTCCAGAAAACATTCTACAGAGAAACGATCCTTGCACTAATCAGAACCATCCCATGACATTTGGGTCCTCTAAGCAAAATATGTATTAGAAAGTCTTCTCTACCCAGCTTCCGACAACGGGCTCTGAACATCTTTGCATGCCTACTGAGCGGCCTTATTAAACTTAAGGGCCAGAGCAAGATACAAGCAGGTTGCAATGGTAAAGAAGTTGAGAAGATCGGGGATGTGTCAGTGGACCCTTCTGAGGAGGGGCCCCTCTGCTGGTGTCCAACCATGCCTAATTGCTATTCATCATAATCACAACATTTAGCCAATGTAGCAATAATTTCAGGAGACATTTGAAAGCACAGAAGAGCTTAAAACACAGGAGAACATCAATCGGTTCAGGGCTCCAGGCATGAGAAAAGGAAATCAGCCTTTCCCTTCTGCCATTTTCCCCATTCTGAATCCCCCATCCCAGTGAAGTAACTTTTGCTCTGCAGGGAGAAACATATCCACACAATACCTGGATGTTTCCCTGCACAAGACAGTGAACAACCGGGGAGTAGGAGAGGAATTTAGGTGGGATGAAGGACACAGAGGAAAAGGGTTCAACTATTTCCCTCCACCAGCATCATGGCCTTAATGTGAATCATTTGGTGAAAGTGATTGTAACCTGTTTTGTATGCCAGGATCTCCTAGTGCCATGCCCAGTTTGGCCTTCAATCTGCCTTAAAGTAATTTCCTAATAATCTAAAGAAGAAATCACAGTTTTCCAGAAAGATGAGGAAAAATACACAATGTTCATCATACAGATACATCTAAAATAGCTTAGCCTCAAACTGTCAAATGCATGGAGATTCCCCCTGCCCCTTTTGGAAATTTTTAAACAAGTACTTCTTCCAACTGCTTATTTAACAAACAATTTATCAATTAATTGGCAGTGGTAGTATTTTATTGTAATATTGTTGTGAATATTAACGTTAAATGTTGTGTGCATGCACGCACGCACATGTGAATATATACATTTAATTTTTTTAAATATATTTAAAAATTACATATTTATTTTACCTGAATCTTTGGAGGGCTGAAGTATTGCCCAATCTAATTCATGTGGCTTTTGAAAGTTGGGGACTACTTGACTTCCAGTCTGATGGCTTGACTCTTTCATTGCTTTGGTCTTTTTGTTGTCAGACATGGATGTTGCATCAGGGCCTTCAACTATGCGAGGAAAGTCTATGGTTCTGGCAGGCTTTTTTCGGATGGTTTTTCCTTTAAGGCTTTTCTCTTGCGGCTTCTTGAAGGTCTTTGGCAAGGTGCAAGGAGCACTATTGCCATGTTTTACTTTTGGATTTTGCTTGCAGTTGACAGGCACCAGTGAATCTCCTTTATTTTCTTGATTGGTTGCAGGTTGAGTTACACACAGGAGTGGTTCAAAGAAGTTTAAATTGGTGAGGGAAACTGCATGCTTTTTCAGTCTCCTAATATTGATACCTTCCACAAAAAGGTCAGTGGGATTAAATGGCGGCTGATCCAACATGGACTATAGAAGCATGGGGGAGGGGGGAGAGACACAAAACCAAGGGGGGAGGTTAGTATTTTTTTTTTCCAAAATGGAAATTACAGGATGTTTGACTTATTCTCACAATTATGCACTGAAGACTAGGTGGAAACATCCTGCCAGTTCTCATCTAGAAATAATTTGGATTCTTATTCAATCTCAATGTACTTCCAGAAAGGGTTTGGAAAGTCCTCCTCCAGTACTAGTCCTCATTTTGATTGCATCAAGCCCTGATATGCTGGTACGGAACAATGATATCGGTAACCTACAACAGTGGATCCAGAAAAACACGGGACTTATTCTTGTGCAACAGCCAAATTCAGTAATATGATTCCGCTTATGCAAACTGATGAACATACATCCTACTTTGTGCAAGCTGCTGTTGCACAAGCGGTTTTGCCAATCACTTCACAAGACAGTGCACAATGCATTTCACCAGCTGTTCTGCAAACCATCGCCGAGGACATTGCACAGTTCACAACAGCTTCATTAAATAAGGGATTGCTTGCACTAGTTATGCTTTGTTGTTGCTGCATGCCATCACATCTGTCTAACCTACAGCGATCTTATAAATGACCGCCCTCCAAAATGTCCGGTCCTTGGCAGCCCTGTGCAGCTCTTGTAAAATCAAGGCTGTGACTTCATTATGGAATCAATCTATGTGCAGCTTAATGTGGTGAGGGGCTTTGAGAGCATCTGAGACACCAAAAGTCATGGCACCAGGAAGCCAGACTCTCTCACTAGGCTGATTTCCTAGCAGGATCATCCAAGGCAGAATGGTCAAAGCAGAGACATCAGACTAAGGGGCATCCATCCTCTTCCGGAGTCACTATCACATCAGCAGAAGGGAATGGATATCTCCCATGGTGATGGGGGCAGAGAAACTCCTGAAGGCAGCTACTGGGCAGCTGTGGTAGTTGAAGGCAACACTGGAAAGATCTTTCACAGACAATGGCAGTGATGTTCAAGCTAACTCTGATTAGTACTGTGCAGAAGGCAGCAATGGTAAACCACTTTTGAATAGTTCTTACCTTGTAAACTTTATAATGGGACAATTATGGTAGTTATGCTAGTACTGGGTTATATGAAATGTTACAGTAGGAGAATGATTACAAAAGCCAGCACTGCTCTGTTAGCAGTTGCACAATAAGCTCAAGCAACAGCTAGTCTAATGAAGTCATAGTGTGTTGGGCAATGCCTTGTACAATGTTGTTTGTGGATGCTTTGCGTCACAGTTGATACAACTGCATGTACAAGCAGAACCAAAGTGTTGGACTTGACGCTTGTGCAAGGATACTAACAGGGTTTACATAAGCAATAGAGGTTTGGGGCTAAATGAATGACACTATGTTGGATACACCCTGAAATCAGAACCCCAATATAATCAAGATGAATATTGGTGTGGCTTGCAAGCCATCTGAATAGGAAACAAAACTGAAAGACTCTTACCTGTCTCCAAAGAAGTTCAAAACTTCCAATGTCGCAGTTTCTGTCAAGTCTCCTGTCGATAACTACCTTGATGGTGTCTTCTTGAACACGAGCACATAAGTCTGATGTAATCGGAGTAGAAGGATACATGGTTGGACTACTATTGATTTCAATCAACCAAGGTTTGAAGTCATTTCCAAGAATGAAATCTGCTCCATAGAGTTCAAAACTGCTCCTGCGTGGTTCAACTTGCTCCTGAGCCATCTTCATTGTATAGATTAAGATTTTTTTCATGCATGGATAGATAACATTGCGCCAGACGTGGCCAAGACCTCTCTTTTGCAAATAGTCTTGGAATTTGTTGCTTGTCCACATGTTGTGATACGGCAACTGAGAACTGCGGTCTGAGGCATTCTTGTAATTTTTCTGGATAGAATTATTGCAAAGATGAATGGAGCTGTGGACATGATATATAAGAATAACTGTTGTAAAATAGGCAGCCCAGAAATAGACAATGCTAATCATTTTTGTAAAAAACCAAAACACAACACTCCCCATGCTGTGGGAATGAAAGTGTATGTGTATGAATGAATGTTTACTTTAAATGTTATACTCCTTTTTTACTTTAAAAACTGAGATAAGAAGGTCAAACCAGATAAAGTGGGGTACCATTGATTCTCATGAAAAACCAATCAGACTTGATTTAAAATTACTTTGTGATATAATATAAAATGAAAAGATGGGGAAGCATTGCACCTGACAAGAATCTCCAGTTCCCAGTAGCTGCATTAGTTTCTTGTGCATTTCCTTGTTAGTACCTGACTGGCACATATTTCCCCTTCAGCCAAAATGAATAGAGTTCACACACTTTTAATTATATTCATGTAACATGAGGGTTGACAGACATGATTGAACTTTAAGAGCCCTTACTGCTGAAGTTTCAAAGGATGAACACCCAACACTGAATGGCCTGAAGATCTGACTTCTCTCTCTACATTTGAAGATCAATCTTATAATCATCAAGCTGATTTGGATGCTTATTTAGATACATGGACTGTCTGTATTGATGTAGATATCGAAAAGCAGAACTTGGTCTTTATTAATAGTATTGTCAATGGTTAATGTGAATAGATTTTTTCTTGGTTTCATTGTTTGTTTTTTCTTGTAGCTGACTGCTATCTCTTTTTTCCTTCTCCTTCTTGGTTATAGTGCAAAAATAACTTTTATTTGAAAGAATGACCTTAGGCAGCAGGGTTAGTTCTGCCATACAGGAACTGCTTTGGGAAGCATCATGACATGGAGAGTGGGAGGATGGGAATGGGAGGAGAGCAGATCGTGTCAAAAATTTGGTATCTGAATAACTTTTTAAAACATGGGCTTTTGTGAGTGTGGGTGGGTGGGTGGTGGGTGTGGGGAAGATCCTATGGGTTCCACATCAGGAAGCAAAGTGTTATGGACTGGCAATGCTGGAGAAGAAGTGGAACATAAAACCAGTTGAGTCTAACCAGACTGCATTTTTCTTGCGTTATTCTCCGTTAGGAGAATACACTGGACTGTATTCAGCCTGACCTAACAATTAGACTTTCTATGGGATGGAAACTAAGCATTAGTCAGACCTGGATCTTACTCATTCACAGACAATTCCATGTGCAGTGGCACATCCAAGCAGCTATCAGTCTAAAATCTATTTAGAGTTGGGGAATGGGATCCCAGGATCATGAAATACAGTGGATTCCTCCTTCCTGTACAGCCACTGCATAAAGTACCCTGCCGACTCCCTTCCATGGTCAAAAGTGCAACTTCAGATGACCTTGGGAAGGCCAAGAAAGTGAAATCATGATTAATGGGGAGGCCTGGATCTGCAGGATCCTATGCAGGATGTCAACCAATCCTGGGAAGTTACTCGGAGAACAAAAGATAAAATTTTGCCTCCATCACCAACCACACCTAGCTGTTGCCAGAAGGGTGCAAGCTGGCTAGAGGACTCTGGTCCTGAAGCGGTCCATCTCTAAAGAGTGCAGCCCTCTAAATAACTAAATCCAAGGTAATACAAAAGATTGCAAGAGCACCCTCACACATTGGCTGAATCATGCTCTAACGATTCTGTAGCACCAGTGTCTTTACAGGCGAAAAGAGGTTCTCTCACAATAGTTTCACTTAAATAATTCTTATGGAAGACTTTAGCTGTATACACACATTCATGTTTGTCAGGTCACCTGTGCTGTTACAACTGTGGCCACCCAATAAAAATGATATTATGGTATATTATTGTTATTACTGATATTATTGTTACCTATGCAGGTTGTTTAAGGAGAAACGCTGAGTGGAAAATCGCAGATAGCTTTCTTTGTAGAACCATACTGTCAGGGGGTTCCAGTCTGTTACAAGAAACCACTGTCTAATATCAAACTTTGTATCATAAATCAATAATGGAGTCTCAATGTATTTTTGGACAACCCACTTATGATCCTTTATTGGAAACTGTTCAGTTTGCTCAACTAGTTTCAAGATCTCTTCCAGTCGGTTCTTGCATACTATTTCTGGAAGAGAAAAAAACAGGAGGATAAAACATTTAATGACAATAGCCATGTTCGATGATAAACCAGAATTGCTGAAAAAATCACCATATTATCCATGAGCAGTTGGCTTATGTCCCCTTTCTAATCACCCTCCCTTGTCTCTGTCTGCCAACAGGAACTGCCAAACAAGAATCTCAATCCTAGGGACAAATGCCATCCTTCAGATTTCCCCCATGTGGTCAAACCCCTTCCCTTCTTGCCCCCAGCCAGTAATTAATCATGGATGGTTTCCCAGCTTTTTTCCCATTCCAAAAGGTTGAAATACACGTCCTAAACTTTAGTTCCTGAAATCACAGCTAAGCCAAACATGCTGGTATTTTGGTCTCGCTCATTCTACCTTTGGCCCACCCACCGCAAGTGTTCCGCTCTGAAAGCTTCCACAAAATGGAATTCAGCCCTCAGGCTGAAAGACTTTCTCAATATATAGACTAAACTAATGAGAAACCAATGAAGAAGCCAAAATCTCCTGCTAAATCTGAACCCAGTTCTTGGTTTGTCATTCCAACCAACCAGGAATGGGAAACCAACTTGAAAATTCAAATTATGGCTTCTGAATGCTAAAGAAGTGACAGATGGGAATGTGGGTTTGGATATAATGCAGAGTGTTTGCTTCTCATTACTTTCTGGTCAGTTCCTCATTCATTCTGGATTTTAATGTGTAAAATTACATACCACACATGACTTCATGGGCATACTTTTGGATTTATTAAGGAATCTTGCATTCCTCTGACAGGCAGTGGCTTCCGAGAAAGACTTAAAGCAACAGAGGAAATTGCGGGCATTAAAGCAAAACTGTCTTCCTTTTAAAAGACCAGAAAATTTTCCATAGAGAATGATTCTTAGAGAGTATAGAAAATATTTTATTGGCTTCTTTAAACAATGCTACTAATATTATGAATGAATGTTTTCAGAGAATAGAAACAGTTGAACCATTTACTTCCCAAAACAAAGAAGCAAAACGTCATGACCTACCACTGCAGCAATGTACGGCATGATATGTAGATCTTAATTCATAGCAATAGAACTAGTCATCATCTACCAGAATCAGTAACCACAGAATACTTATTCTGTGCCCTCCATCTGAATGCCCTCCAAAAGTCCTGTACTTGACAGCTGTTATAAATTCCAGATTGTGGCATCCTTTATGGAATGGATCTTTCCATAATTGTCCGCATTTCATGTCTGTAGCACACGCTAAAGAAATGGGCAAGCATCTCTACATTTACTACATGGCAAGTTGGTTTTCTGTACTCACCAAAGAGTAGCCCTACCTCTGCCACGGGATTTTGCTCCAGGTTTAATGATCCAGATGTTGTGGAGACCATCAATAACGTGCTGCGGGTTTATTAGCGTAATTTTGTGCAAAATGTTTTGACACTGAGTGAAGTAACTATCTGCGTTACAAATCATTGCACCTTCACTAGAAACAACAACAATATGTTTTTATGAGAAATATTTATATACATTTCTTGCAACTGCAAGTTCAGGCAGTCCCTGGGTTACAAACGAGTTCTGTTTCTTAGAATACACAGAAATTCATCTTTAAGTTGAATCTGTATGTAAGTCAGATCACATGTAGTTGGCCCTCCACATTTGCAGGGGTTAGGGGTACAGGACTCCTGTGAAAGTGGAAAAACTTCAAATATCTCTGGCCCAACTCATCAGGGGCCTCCTCTCTGCAGCAAGGAAATACCAGAGAGATTTCCCTGTACAGGGAAGGAAGGCATGCTTTAGAGGCCTCCTTCTCTCTCTTTCACTTCTCTCTCTATGGTGATGCTTTAGAGGGCCTCCCTCTCTCTTCTTTTGCTTTCTGTCTATGGTGATGACAATCTTCCGTAGAATTTTTTTTAAAAATACTTCCTACATCATATAGCTTGAAGTGTGTGGAAGCTAAGCAGGGTCAGGCCTGGTTGGAATATGGAATATGGACTTGAGTCCTGCATTGAGAAGTGGGTTGGACCCAACAGCCTTCTAGGCACCTTCCAACTGTATGATTTTATGATTTGTCCAATCGCCAACATTTGTTTTCCTCTTTATGAAACATTGGACATCATTTGTTTCACTGGGCAGAAAGCCACCTGATTGTTATTTGTAGTATATGTTTAAATGGTCAATATGTAACCAGAAGGAAAAGGTATTGTTAGTAAGCACACATTATCAGTCAAATGCACTACATTTATGCTTAAATTATCATTTATAGGAAGAAAAGGAAAACATGAATGATATTTATTTGATATTAAAGGATATTCATAAATCTGAATGAATTTTTAAACAACACTCTGTCTCAGTGGTTTAAATGACTTCAGCTGCTGAGAGATAAAGTAACTTCAGGACTGGAGTAATATTAGTGCTTCACATTTGCTGTGAGCTCCATTTCCTGGGTCATATTGACTCTGATGGCTACTCCTATTCTGCTGTTTTACCTGTAAATTTAATCAGTGTACAGCCCACTGTAGCTATTTCCAGAGCAATGTTAGTGTTATTCACCCTTTTTCTAAGTGAAAAAGCTCCACACCTTTCATCACAGGGGAAATGCTGCAGTCCCTCATTTTGGCCATCCATGTTTGCTTTCTTTCCAGTTCTACAATCTCCTTTTTAAGGTGTGACAACCAGAATGGTAGACATGGTATTCCAAGAGGCTTACACCATAGACTTGAATAGGGGTATCACAACACGGGCAGCTTTATTTTCAATCGCTTTCCTAATTATACCTAACAAAGAATTCACCTTCTTTCATAACCACTGCACACTGACTCACCACTTTTGTGGATCAGTCACTGCCGACTTGGACCCCATGAGGATATAAGCAAAGTTAGGATTATTTCTGCTCCAATGTGCCTCAGTATACACTTGTTTACATTGAACAGCATCTGTTATTTTCTTTCCCATTCAACCAGTTTGAAAGGGTATTTGTTGAGCACTTTGTAATCTTTTTTGTTTTTACCACCCTAAATAAGAGAGTGTAATTCCATAAACATGGCTACCTCATTGTTCATATCTAACCCCGTATCATTTGTGAACATGTTAAAAAGCACCTGACCCAATATAACTCCCTCTAGAACCACTAAAATCACTCAATTGTAAGAACTGACTATTTATTCCTACAGCCTGCTTCTTGTTCTTTCACAGGCCACCAATCCAGAAGAGGACCCATTCTCTTATCCCATGACAGTGGCATTCATGCAGAAGACTATTCTGATTTCGACAAGCTAGTGGTGTCACAGTTCATCCATCTTATGCCAAGTGCAGGACAGAGGCTGAACTTTTGCTACTTTGCTTGAACCTACTATGTTATTTTGTTGACATAAAGGAGAAATTTGCTTTAAGCTTAATCAATGTAATTCTGGCATCAGCTTGCTGCATTCTTTAGATTAACACTTGACATAAGGGTTTGAGGAAGATGAAAAGTGATCTTTATTTCTGACAAATGTCAGATATTCATATTGGTTGACCTTGGCTATCTGACCTTGTATAGACAGTTTATCATCTATTCTCACTCTCAACCAGAATCAGTACTAGGTGTAATCTGGGAGTTATACCTATATAAGTTAAGGGAATCCCATCATTAGCTGAACTTCAGCCCAGGTCAAACTGCAGGACAGCTGTGCAGATTGGCTGAAGGAGTCTGCCCATGATCATTTGTTTTGGGGTTCCTATGGGCAGAAGGGGGTGCTGATGGGATATTGTAAGCATATTCTTCATCATATTCTTGTTGCATCTATTTCTGTTTAAATATTTCTTTCCACATGGGTGTGCTTATTGCTTTCAAATCCAAAAGAATCTTTTGCTTCTTGGCAACACTCGTCTAAGTGTTGTTCAGGCACCTTTGACAAAGGCCTTTGCCAAATGCCTTTTGGAAGGCCAATTATCAGCACTATCCATGTGCTTGCTAACCATCTCAAAGAGTTCTAGAAGGTATGTGAGACAGGATTTATGTTTGCAAAGCCATGTTAACTCTGCTTAAGCAGAAAAGCCATGTTGGCTTGCTTAAACAGAACCTGTCCTATATAGGTTGATAATTTCAATTGCATTAACACTTTCCACCAATTTACTTGGAACAGACATTAAGCTAGCTGGCTTGATGAAGCGCACACTAGTCCAAGCTAGCTTATGCCATAGTAAGTTCATAAGTTGAAGACACAAGGCTCTTTTGAAAGCCCATTAAATACTACCCTGCTTCTCTTCCCCACATCCTAGCATAGGCCAGTGGCTTGGCTAATGCTGTGGCTGGAGGGTAGGGTGACCTTCCTAGGAATTCTTTCATTCCTGATAGTCAAAATTGCCAGCTTGCCTCTCATGAGACCCCACAAATGACAAACGAGTGGAGAAAATTGCCTAACTCCAGTGTGGGGTAGAAATGCTCTTTTGCTCTGAATTAACAGATTTAAACACACATGAGAAATGCAAACTAGTTGATGACTGATTAAATTAGCTGCTCCTATGCCTTATCACCTGGTTTATCATGAGTTTCACCATCCTCTGCATGTGAAACTCATATGATAACCCTACTGCTTATATCATGGTGCATTGTCTTACTCTTCATTGTCTAAATCTCCTTTCCCAAAAGTAAGGCATATACAACTAGAGGAAGAGACAAAAGGGGTGAGGCTCTGCCCAAATATTCAGTTACCACAGTTGGATGCGGAAGTAAAGACTTACTGAATGAGAGAGTAGTACTGTTCGATTAATTGATTCCATTCTTTGTCTGAAAGTGCTGGAGCACTGTCCACATCTGTGTCAATATCGCCATGTTCAATTTGTTCAAGATAGGTTTCACACACCTTGCAAGCCATTTCTACTACTTCTCCGGGAAGCTCCTTCATTTTCTTTACCTCAGGATCTATGAAATCCAAACCAAAGTACTTCTCAATGATAGACACTCTTTACAGAGTTAAACTTTTCTCTAAGCAAGATCCCTTTGTAAGGGCTTTGTTATGAGAACTTAAGTGCTCCACAGTAATTCCTGATCCTGCCTCAGCTTGGAAGCTAAGCAGGGGTGGGCCTGGTTGGAATATGGATGGGTGACTTAAATGTGGTGAACCACAAAGAAAGCTTCAGCTACAGGCAGTACAGAAATGTAATGTGATAATGATAATAATATGCAGTAAAGCAGCAGTCAAACAGTGATGTAGAGAGTATGCAAAAGTGTATCTGTTGTCCCTGTAACATGTAAACAGTCCCAAATAGGGGTATGTCCATGAAGTAACATGAATGTTACCTTCTTCAAGCACAGAGATATCTTTTGAACTACTTCAAAAATAGCTCTTCCATAATCCATGTTTGCTGCATGTCCCAGGCCAATTTTTCATTTTGAAATAGCATTTATGAAGGATGGGACAGCCCAGATCAGGGCAATGATACTTCGAGGGGAGGAATTTATCCCTCTTTTGGGGACCAAAAGTACTCCCATGGGTGCAATTCCTACAATAACATGTTCTAAGACAAACGTTAATTTTGAGAAACGTTTTCAGGGGACCAATGGTGAAAGCAATCACTCAAACCCTTTCACGCCATGTACATAAATCCCACTCAGGATCAGACATAGGGATAAACAATCATGGCCAAGAAAAGTCTTCATTGCCTTTTAGTGATTGTAGCTTTAGAATTTCATCTTGGAATATGTTCTTATAGGGTCATCCCATGAAGCTGATTGGTGGGAGATTAGGGCAAATAAAAGGAAGGACTTCCTCAGTGTGGAATTCACTATCAGGGGAAGAAGTGGTGATGGCCACCAATCTGGACGGCTTCATGAAGAAGGAGGCTATCAGTGGTACTGACCTTACTGGCTATGTGCTACCTTCTGACCTGACTGGCTATGTGGCCTGCCTGCATACAGCAGTTGCCCACGCTGCTTGAAGGATCCTGTGGGCAGCTGGTTTGCCACCACGTGAATAGGACTAGATGGACCATTAGTCTGAGTCAGCATGGCTTTGCTTATGTACTTAGGTATTTATCAAAATTCTTTTATGTGGGGAAATACCCTAAAGCTCCTATTTTCACAGACAGGTAGACACATATCTCATTTTTACATTTTTTTAAGTACCTTAAGTTGATAGCTCATGAGGAAGCACTGTAACACCCTTTTGATAACACACTTCAAAGTCAGACTTAGAGCTGACCACATCTTACCAATATTTAACTTTACTGGCTATTGCTGTTTTCCCCAAACACCATTCAAAGTGCTGGTTCTCACAGTTAAAGTCATAAAAGCATCACCGGTAAGCCAGCTCTGAGAAGAACAATTGCTCTTCCCAGAACTGGCCAAGCCCCACACCAACCATGTCTGTGCTATGGTTGTTTGACCTCAGCTAACAGCTTCCTCCAGTGGGGGACTTCTTGCAGATGGCAGGGCTCAGAGACTGAGCTCTAATCCTTGGCAGAAGCCAAGGTGGCTCTATCAGCCAGATGAGGAGATGCCACAGGGCAGAGTAACCTAGTTCTGGCTTACACTACTTTTAATTTGCCTTGTGCTGGTGTTCTGACTTCTGTTGCTTCAGCTTCATCTGTCAGGCACCCATGCCACTGTTTAAGTGCCTTTAAAAATCTTTGTTTATTCATTCATACCTTAAAACGTCTCTGAATGTCTTGTTGATGACATCTTACATGACGACAAATTATTCTAGATGTGTTTTGGCTGTTCCTTTTAGTTTTAGTTGGGCTATTTTTATTGCCATTAGGGGATTCCACTTTTTTCATATAGAATTGTAAACTTCAGAAGGAGCAGAGCATGTGTGTGTTTAAGGAAACAACTAACTAAATAAAAGAAGATAAATATCCACTGTGTATGTGTATGCCCCAGGGATTGGAACACGAATCTCTTTTATGTTATTCTAACCAAAACGTCATCAAAATTATTCTTACCGTTTTGGCTATTCGGGGCTTTTTTCTGAAACTGCCTCCACCTTTGGGCTCTGTTTTGCACTCTTTTTCGAGAATGTTGGATGTGTTTCGCTGTTTTAAAAAGATGTGTTGCCATCATGCAATGATGTCATCACACAGACCCCACAGCTGTGGCATTAAAAAATTATTTCCACAGCAGGCAAAGAACATGCAAAGTCGCCCAGGTGTATTTAAGAGGGATTTTTGCAGAAAGGCCAGAATGAGGGGGCAGAATGGAGAACAGAGCATGGACTGTGTTGTTTGTGCTGAACAGTGAAGTACACAAATGGAGGAGTTGAAATTGTGCTTGCAAAATAATCTTGTAAGAAAGGGGAAGAGCTTGAGAGACAACTGAGAAATTGTGATAGGAGTTGTAGCATTTATGGTGAGCACTAAAACACCAAAAATAGCAAAATGGCACTCACTTTTTTACAACTCTGTCAGAAAAGCTAAACAAAAAAAGTTCCAACACAACATGTCTTTTCTTTTGGATCTGATACTTTGATACCAATGAAAACCAATGTAATTTCACAATTCTATGGGTGAATGCATGAGGCACTTAATTATTTTATTTTTTTTTAAGAATGAAGCAGCAACTTGTTTGGGGTGTAAGAAAATGCATCCTGAGAAGCTGCAGTTGAGGTTTTGGTTTGTTTTGTTTTTATAGTTTTCGCTGCGACGTCTCCCACAGTGAAAGAGGCAACCAGTTAAGACCTTGAATAGAAATGTAACAACCACAGCAAGAGTTGGATTGAACAGTCTTTAAAAAGTCATACCTAGGGCTAAATATAAATATCCTCCAAATTCAAGGATGGCGAATGGAACATTTTAGCTGATATGGTAAGGTGGGGAGGCATATTTGTGAGTAGCCAACCTGTGCCACCACTAGTTCTACTGGTAATTAACAGCTGGTGCTCATGCTTTTTCTTCCCCAAAGCCCCAAAATTTGACTCCATATGTTAGTAAAATATTGCTGTTAGAAAGTTATGGGGAAAGGAGGAGGGTGTGGACACCCACCAGGAGAAATTCCAGGTTTCCCCTTCCTAAATTTTACCAACTTCACATTCTCTTCCTCTACCCCACCCCTCACTTAATATGTTCTAATGCAAGGGTCTCCAACCTTTTAAACACATGAGGAAATTTGAGAAACCACCACAAAATGGTTCCCATGGCTAGTCACATAAAGGCTGCCATACTGGCCCGGCTAGTCAGAAGTTACAGAGATAAAGAGGTAGGGCATGGCTGGGAGGGAAGGAGGAGGACACAGGAAGGCAAAGGCAAACAGAAAGGCTAGAGGCAAAGGCAAGCATAAAGGGAGCCGGAACAGCAAGATAGAGAGGTAGGAGGGCAGAAACAGAGAGGCTAGAAATGGAGAGAAAGAAGACTTCCCTAGCATTTTCCAGGGATTTTATTTTTGAAGAGGTAAGGTATAGAGAGCTTCATGGGTGCCCTAACCCTTGAAGGTACTCAGTGATGCTGTGCTGGGGACCCCTGCTCAAACATGTATGATCACCTCTGTAGAACATGAAGCATTGTTAACTCAGTGTCTCAAGGATCTGTCTAATTGCTTAGTGGATGGGTGGATGTCTAATCTGCCAGTAGAGCTCTGTTGCCTAAGTGAGCAACAGAGATACAGAACCAAGTAGTGGGAAAGAAGGAGAGCACATCTAAATTATACTGAATAGTAAACACCTGAGGCCCTCTTGACCTGACTTTCCTAAGCCTGATATTTCTAGAGAAGCTTACCGAATGCTGAAATTTTGGTCAAAGTCTATTGCTTCACCAAATCTATTGTTTAATCAAAGCTGGAGGTTGCATCCCAAAGATAAAGTTTTGCTGTCTGCTGAAGTGTTAGTTTTGAAGTGTAAGAAGTGTTTTAACTTTGGAAGAGTCAGTTAATTTAAAGGTCAGATTTCTTGCATAAGAAAGCTCTCACAAACAGAGATGCAAGCAGCATGGCTTTCCAAATATTCTATGAACTCCTGGTCAGGAGACAGAGAATAAAAAGTTTGCAAGGAATTCAGTAGTTAAATTGAGTTGACTTGTAGCATCATCTGGAATCCATCTGAAAACCATGAATGCCCATCACAAACTTATCTCTAGATTAACTTTCCTTAGTTTTCATTTAGTACCTTAATGAAGCTAAAACTTCTTTAACTTGTGGAACAGTCTCTAAGTGTATCTTATTCTCCTTCATGAACTGCTAAAGTTGCGGTGTTCAGATTTCAGCAAAATAGCTCACACTTAAACCTGAACTGAGGCTTGCCTCAGTCATGGGCCCTCGGGCAGTCAGGAAAGCCTCAGCTATGTACAGTAATCCATTTTACACATAGAAATTGCTTCTTTAGATTATGCACAAAAGGTTTTAAAATATTGTGCTTTCTGTTTTAGCATGTGTCTCCATGTTTTCTTTCAGTTAACTCTGGTCTCTTATGTGTCATTAGAATCAATGACTAGTCAGGAACATGGAATCTTGGTCAAATTTCAAAGTTCATTATTTGTTTTCATATTTTGGTATTTGTTTTGTTTTTGTATTTTAAAATGAGTACCCTTGGAAGAAAGAGTACTAGTGAAGTACCACTATTAAAATACTAAAACGAATCTCATTCTTTCTCTCTTGCACACACACAATAACAACACAATTTTCTCAAACTGAAAAGGTCTGATGGCACAAACTGTTTGATCTGGGCTGCTCTTGTTTTGCCTTTCCCAGGGCACAGAGGTTTTAAGCAGCCCCTTGGAAGGTAGAGGGTGGGAAGAGAAGCAAGAAAATTGTGAACTCCTCCACAACTTCCCTTATTATTACTTTGATTCACTCTAAGATTTACTCTAAGTCAAAATAAAAGAATGGGGGAAATATTGGCTCAGCTTTTTATATTAGTTTGACTATTAAGGCAGACTTCATATTTTTAGACTTTCCTTACATTCTGCAACACTTTCATTTATTAGATTTATATCACACCCAGAGAGCCTTTTCTGGCTAAAGTGGCAGGATAGAAATGTATAAATAAATGAAATGATAATATTTTTTGCAATGTTCATAATTCTAAGGTTTACCTTTAGTGGTTGCACCTTCTTTATTGGTGTTCTCTTTACATGACCAGTTATGGTTATCATCAGTAATATGTAAGTTAACAATCCATTTGATGATGCAGAATGCTGCCGTTTTCCTGAAATCATCTGAAATAAAATGGCACATTATTTTGGAGAATGCCTCATTAAACAGAGAATGTATTAAATGGCAAAATGCTGAGGGATTTTGCATTAATTTGATGAAAACAAACCAAGTCCATGCAGGTCAATTTAACAGAGTGGGAGGAAATTCTACTGCAGGGTTTATGCTAAGCTTAGCACCCACCCCCCCACCCCCCCCCCAACATACTGCAAGTCAAGCTGCAGAGGACCCAAGACTGCGGAAGTTTCTTTAGTGTGAAGCAGAAGGCTCACAAGTGTCTCTCTCTCTTCCTGAAAGCAACCACCACCACCCACCACCCCCCACACACAGCAATCTTTTGCTCTTTCCTGGCACCCAAAATCAGCTTCCTGAGGTGAGTACCTCACTGCTTAATGGTGGGCCAGCCCAGGTGCTCCAAGTAATGTCAGGGGGATGTAACAGTATGGCATTTTTTTTTTTTTTTTAGCTCTGGGGCTAAGTTTCAGTAGGCTATTATGTTAATAAAAAGGCCGCTATAAGCTTGAAACACATACTTTTGGTGTACAGACCTGTTTGGATGTGGCAAACCGATGTCTGAAACCATAGTCTTGTGTGTGGAAAAAAAGCAAAACAGTGATGTGCAAGTTTAAAAGTGAGAGTATAAAGTATTTTCTATTTCAAGGCAAGACGGCCCTATGGCTTAATTATATTTGATATTAAAGGCATTCCCTGAAGCATCATGTGAGGATTTTAGCAGATTTAATAGGAAGCATGTTGGTGAAGGAGGTCTGTTTTTAAACTAGACTATAGTGCTCAGGAGGAGAGGATTAATCTGTCCCCAACCCTCCCCTCCCCTGAATCCTAAGTAAAATCCCCCATCATGCTGCATTTGGTATCAGGAAAGAAGAAGATTCCCCTTGGCAAACTTTCCAAGACTGAAATGGGGTTAGAAGAGAGAGAGAAGGAGAGAGAATTAAAGCAACTCACCAATAAAATCACATTTCTCATCCTCCATGCAAATGCCATAACATCGAGGGAAAAAATGGTTTGGGTTGGCTGACACATACCATGGCAAATTTCTCATGTGCAAACAAAGTCCAATCTTTCAAGAAAATAAATATATTGCTTGCTTTAATACAGAAATGCTACAGGAAAAAAGCAAAATTCTGTGATTCTAATCTTAACCCCAGTCCCCCCAGGATGTAATGATTCACTGATCCCTGCAGGATGTAATTCAAAGAATCACCTTCATTTTTAACTACGTATCATATTAGAATATTATTTGTGCAATATATTATGAAATACATATTATGTATTACCTTGTTTGTTCTCAAAGTGAGTGATCAATGGTTTCCATTTATTTGTTTGTTTATCACATTTGTATTGTTCTGTTCCTCCAGTTATCCCAGGTGCATTGGTTAAGAGCTCAAGACTGGGGCTCAGGAGTTCTGGGTTCTAGTCCCCCCTCAGCCATGGAGCCCATTGGGTGATTTCATGCCAGTCGTGGACTCTCAGCCCAACCTACCTCACAGGGCTGTTGTTGTGAGGATAGGATTGGGAGGAGAAGTGTGTAAGCCACCTTGAGTTCCTTGAAAGGAAATGGGTGGAATATAAATATAATAAATCGATAATTTACAAGACCAGACCTCTCCTGTTTCAGCAGCATAAGGGGAGCAGTGTTCAGATGAGCACTCTGCTGGTGTGCTGGAAGAGGGCTTTCACTAAGCAGTCAGAGCACACATGCCCTGCTGCCACCACTGACAAGCCCACCAACCATATCTTGACCAGCTTTGCCTTCAGCCCCCTGAAAAAGGGTCCTTCCTGTGTATTGGCCCTCGGGCACAGAGCTGCTCCTCATAAGGAGAAATCCTGGGCCAACTTGGGATCCCTCCATTGTGTGACGGAGTGTGCATAATGGCATGCATCTTCTCAAACTGAAGATGCAGCCACCAGAAGATGTGGCAATCACAGCCACTGTTCCCTGCCTCCTTGAATTCTGAGTTTCAGTTTTACAGCACAGTGAAGGAACCACATGAGCAGGCTGCTGGAAGGACCACCTCCACCACTCCTCTTGACCCATGAATACAAACAGCCACATTTTAGCAGCTGAGAACATGCTTTCCATGTGCCAAATCTCATGTTCAGCCATCCAAGCAGCAGATTGGAGGAGACGTTGGCCTGAGAACTTGGAAAGCTGTTGCCAGTCAGAGCAGGTAAAATTGGGCTAGGCCAGCATAGCGCAATTGCGTAAAAGGTGAGTTCCTACATATATTCCTAAATTGTTCTCCTGCCAGCAACACTGACTTCCTCACCAAAGCAGAATCTGGAGCACTTATGGAGGAAACTTGCACATGTACCCAACAGTCTTGCACACATTGTGTATGTGTGTGTTTATATCCTGCCTTCTTTCCTGTAAAGAACTCGGAGCAATTTGTACAACCGTCCTCCTCCTCTCTATTTTATCTTCACAACAACCCTGTGAGGTAGGTGCATGGCATATGTGCAAGGACTAGAAGTATTATGAAGAAAATATGGCTTATGCTTGAACTAAATAAAATGACTGTTGCTTATTTTAAAATAAGCAGTTTTATTCTAAACTATTATGGGTTTTAAAACCAAAAAGTATGGCAACCAATTTAGGCTGGTTGTTGTTCTTGAATGAACCTGAATGGCTGTGCCACTTTCTTTTCCTGGCTCATGAGCAAATCCTAAAGTCCAGTCTGGATCAGCAGTTAAAGAGTGGCTCAGCCTGTGCCTAAGTGGCAGGTTGCTCGGGATTATGGAGCCAGGCCAAAGCCTCTGTTTTATCATAGGTCCTTGCTTGCCTATCCCTCTTTTTTAGAATTCCAAACACCACCCATTTTGCCAGACATCATCACCCACAATGAATTGGGCTCAGCCTTGTGAATGATTAAGGATACATGCATGCTGATCTCCATCCTAAAAATAGGTCTATGGAACACATGGGCTAGTTCCTATACACTCAAAATAAAAACTGCAATGGCTAAGACATCCCACTGACAGGAGTTGCCAGCCTCCCTGGCACTATTATTTGGTTTCCTAATGTGCTTAAAATTTTGTTTACAAGTTAAAAATTAACAGGTAGGAACCCGCTCTTTTATTGGGATGTTAAGAAAGTTTGAAGTTTAACAGATTCTCTTGCAGGGCACAAACTAAGAGAGGGAATGCCTGACTTTAACCAGCCCCCTCCACCTCTTTCATGTAGAAAGTTCAACATATTTATTGCTGCTTGCTGATTAGCCCTTTTCAATCCTTCCTCTGCCTCTCATTCTGGTCTGGCCACCACCACTTTCTAAGCTGAGGGAATGATGCTGAACAGGAAGAAAATAGCACTGGGCAAGCTCTCCCCCATCCTATCAGGAAATAAGAGGTCACCTTGGAGGCCTGTACAACAACAATGCAAAAAAAATCTGAGGCAAATGTCTCCCTTTCTGAAAGGATCGTGCCTGGTAGCTTGGTTCATCAAGTGACCGAGTGAGGTGTGACGACATCACGGCCAGGGACAGTGTGTGCTGGCTCTCAAGTAGCTGGAATTTGGAGAATCTGGTTTCAGGCTGAGACTGGAACCAGGCTGAGGAACGTGCTGTGGTGATAAGTCATCCACTCTGGTATTTGCAGTACGTACTTTGGTTGTAAAAGCGCCGGTTCTTGCATAATGGTTCAGCATCTGATCAATGTGGAGATTATAGTAATCAACTGCATCCTTTTTTATAGTCCAGTAAAAGGAGGTTTCTTCATTTCTTACCAACCTAGACTGGCCCAAAGAAGACTCTGTTATGATTCTACCCAGAAAATATTTTTCCAGTTTACCCACTGCTATTGGGTGCTACACAGATCACAAGGTATTTTATTTCATTTTATGGAAATTCCTATTTGGGCAACAACAGAGGAGCACGTGTGTGAAGATTTGAGGCTGTGGTTGTTACACAATTTATTTCAGTGCTTCATACATTTGAGGAAAAGAGGCATGCATGTGGCAAGAAAATTATCCTCACGATAGCCGATCACCGAAAGCTCATAATACCTAACCAAACAGGCATGGAATAATCACATTGACTCAAATCAAAGACATGGTTATAGTAGAAGCAGTGATTTCTCAAGCTGCAGCCCTTATGCATATTTTCCTTGGAGTAAGCCCCATTGGTTGCAATGTATGGCTGTGAAAGTTGGACCATAAGGAAGGCTGAGTGCCAAAGAATTCAGGCCTTTGAATTGTGGTGCTGGAGGAGACGCCAGCGAGTCCCTTGGACTGCAAGGCAATCAAACCAGTCAGTCCTAGAGGAGATCAACCCTGACTGCTCTTTAGAAGGCCAGATACTGAAGATGAAACTCAAATACTTTGGCCAGCTAATGAGAAGGAAAGTCTCCCTGAAGAAGAGTCTAATGCTGGGAACAATAGATGGCAAAAGAAGAAGGGGACGACAGAGAATGAGGTGGCTAGATGGAGTCACTGAAGCAGTCAGTGTGAGCTTAGGTGGACTCCGGGGGATGGTGGAGGACAGGAGAGGCTGGAGGAATGTTGTCCATGGGGTTGCAATGGGTCGGATGCGACTTCGCCACTAGCATAGCATAGCAAGCCCCATTGAACAGAGCAGGATTTCTGAGGAGTAGACTTTAAAAATGAATAGTATAAGAAATCCCCAAGCTACTCCTTCAGGGCATCTTTGGTATGTAATGTGAAGAAACAGTTTTCCCTGAAATGAAGTCACCATGTTTCAAGAGGGACACCACATCCTTTCAGTGTGTGGACTTTGCTAGCTGCACGTAAAGCTACACAATGTCTTTTGATTCACACAGCTGGAAATCCTCTGCCTGGATGTATCCCAATTGAGCAATTTGGACTACTGGGAAAATCCATGCAGTGTTTCTACAGGTGCTGTATGAATTGTGGCATTTGTGGGCTTTTCTACATGAGTCCGTTAACCTGCCACTTTGCAGAGGATTCTGCTTCCAGATTCTTTGCAGGATTAAGATCAGCTCCTTTGCATGGTTATCCCCAAGAGGTTCTCTTTCTCTGCCTTTTCGCATGTCCCATTGCTCAACCACAAGGTGGCAATGTGGTATAGCAGAATTGTAAAAACTCACACACAGAGAATTGTAAAAACTTCTCATTCCACTTCATTCCACCATTTCTCAAAAACAACACATTTTCTGTAGAAATGCTTGGAAAGCACAGGAGAGGTCCTAGACCATGATGGCATGTAAAGCACCCACAAGCTACTGTAATAAATTGCAAATACATCATAAATGCCTCAGGTAGACAGGACTGGGAGGACCTAAAAAGGGCACAAATATGCTAGGAACTGGCAACACTCAGAAACAGATCCTACTTGTGCTTGGCAGACATGCTAACTCAATAGCCAAAAGCAGGCTGATTCAGAGCTGTTTCATGACTTCTGCCTTTAAAGGGGGGCATGATTTGCATAGATTTTATTTAAGGCAAAGAGAAATGTGCCTGACTTTCTTTAAACCAGAAAAGGTTTTAAAGGCAGAGAGGTCCGCCTGGCGCCGTCGTTATTTGTTTTTCAGCGCCAGGTGAAGACCTTTTTATTTAAGCGTCATTTTAATTGTTAACAGTATTTGCTTATTTTATCTGGCCAGGGCGACTTATTTTATTTTATATTGTTACTTATTTTATATTGCTATTTTTATATTGTTATTTTTTGTATTTTACTTCATGTTGTGAGCCGCCCCAAGGCTTCGGCGAATGGGGCGGCATAGAAATGTTTTAATTAATAAATAAATAAAAAATGCAGCCAGAATTTGAGCATGTGTCCCTGGCCTTGTAAAAAAATATATGCAAATTGCAGGCTGCTTTAAAAATGGAAGTGCTGACTCAGCTCAGGTCAGCTCCCTCCCACATCCCTAGCTGCTGCTCGCTCACTGGGATAATGCCATATGTAGTTGTCTTGTACCTCTCAAAGAAGCTGAAGTCAATGTTTGTACCATCTGTTAATGTGATATCAGAAATGTCATGGGTGATTCTGGAGAGCAATTTTGTATGGACCTTCCAAAGCTTTTCTAACCCATAAGAAGAGTAATTCCATCTTTAATCTTACCATTATATCATGGATGTCATTTGAACTGTTAAAATGACTTTCTTCTTCCTGCAAAGTAGTTTTACTCTCTTGGGAGAGGGAGAGGGAGAGGGGGAGAGAGACAGAAAGAGAGAGAGCAAGAGAACAGAAATCAGTACATTGCCTTAAGTACAAAAGAGCAGGACTAAATGTATTGCATTAAAACGGGTCAATCGACTGATACCAGCAAAGCAAACTAAAAATACTGCTGTAAAAATAACACTGCAAGATGCATCTATTGGTATTACATGTGCTACTCCAAGTATATAAGCTAACTGAAGGCATATCTTTAAATTCTCTGAAAGTGCCTGAAAATTACATCACCAAAGGTCTGTTCAACCAAACAACAAATAAGGCAAATCTTGCTCCAACATAGTTATCACAGAATTTACTAGAAAAGTCAGGAAACAGAGAGAAGCAATGCTTAATAGGAATCCCTATGAAGCAGTGCTAACCAGGCCTCAGCACCGAAGCTTCTTTTCAATGCCAGGATTTAAATTCTAGAATGTGAGCAAAATCTTTAGGCAAGGGCACAGTGTCTTTCTCTCAGCTCTCCATTACACCCCCAATCCTCTTCACTGTAGGGTTAAAACAGCAGGTTTGCCAGTCTAGAGGGTATAGCAGGAGAACTTGGGAACTGCTACATATTCAGCAGGGAAGACAACTGAGCCCAAAATACAGAACTCTTCTCTGTTACATTTCTGTAGCCAACTTTTTGATGAATATGTGAAATTCTTTTTTCCCCACTAAGTTTAGAGACCTTCCTATTCACAGGTTCTATCAAAGTTGACCTAAACTAACTTTCCTGTTTCCAAACACCTGCACAGATTTGCAAGCATTTTATGAATGACCCTTTTCCCTCCTCACCAGGTAGAATGTTTATAAGTATTCTAGGACATCACAGTAGGTAAAGCAACAGCTAAGGAAGACTTGTGGCAGCTTTGATAGAGCAAGAAGTCTGCAAAAGCTTGGGGGTATCATGTGGATTTCAAGTAATTCCTAATTTTTCCACAAGAGTCAAATTTACCCTTTAAAGGCTACCAACATACCTATGTTCAAAACTCCCCCTGAAATCAGAGTAGAGAAACAAATAACCAAGTGTTTTACACTAATGAAAAGCAAGAAAAGAGTACTTAAATGAGGGTTCTTACCAGCTTTGCCAACATTGTCACGTTCAGTTTCGTTTGCATCATCTTTATGGTCCTGAACATCGCATTTAACAGTGTTCCTTTTCTCCACCCATCCCCTCTTCCTTAAAGATGTGCGAATCACTGGATAAGGTCCATAGATGGTAAAGATTTTCCTTTCCTGAGTTCACATATAAATGTATTTCAGAGGCGAAGTAAACACAATAGAGAAAATTCCTAATCAGAATCTCTCACAGAATGCCTTTTGTACTTAGCCACTAGTAACAAAGGCCCATCATCCACAGGCAACATTCTTGGGTAGATGCCAGGGGCCTCAACCAGCTGATGATGCCACTGTCTTGGCACCTTTTTTCCAATGCTCCAATGAGGGCTGGATAGCCATCACTGGAATTGTCCATAATGCTCCGAAGCAACTGTGTTGCCCCAGGGCATTGTGGTCCTTACAGTTACAGCCATTGCCACCACCATTGCCACAACTCTTGCTATGGCTGTGTCCCTTTTCAGTAGGCCTACCCAGTTCGGCACCTCATAACAGGAGAGAAAATAAATAGAATAAGGAAAGAGCAGGGCTTCCCACCACCAGAGGGTTTCCTTCAAACTTGGAGCCAGCCATACTGATGCTGCTGCTTTAATGTTGCTTGGAGGGACAGGGTTAACTATTTCCCAACATGTTCTTTTCTCAATTCAAGTGCTTCTCCCTACCCAAGTTGCAATTAGCTCTGTAATAAGAAACATTTCCTCAGTGGAGCTAATAACCTCTTTGGGAGGGCTATCAGGAAAAGAGAGTGTGGAAGGAAGGGCAACTCCCTCTGCCTTTCCCCGGGTCCTTTTCTTTGATCTTCAAAGCAGCTGTGGGGGTCTCTAGTTACTAATAAAAAAGAGAAGGGAGATTCCCATCCATGAATCTCCTGTGTCAGGTAGTCTAGTCTGGCCTTCAGTCAAAAAGAAAGACTAGTATCTAATAAATACCACAGTGTTTTATCAAAGCATGACCTCCCTCAGGGTTGCTGGCAATCCTCTTCGAGCTATGGTAACTTCTTTTTCAAGAAATGAACCTTTATATCCAATTCCATTCAGAACTTTGTTGAAAAGTTTTCTCACACACAAAAATACCAGGCTTATGTCCATGTCTAACACAAATGGTTGCAGATTGTAGCCACAGATACATAACCTCAGGCAGGGGTTGCATGTGCAGTCCAGATTTTCTCTGGGATCAGTTACAGAAAGGGAAAAATGCCCATGTTTTCAGACTCTGCCCGTCTGTATCCAGTAACAAGAATAACATTTGCTCAAACTTGAAGCTTTGGCTAAGATATCACAACTGTCTTGTACTTCTGCGAATTGGGACATCCCTGTTGCCTGCACCCCTCCTAGCTTGGCTCACATCCTTTCTGCCTTGGGAGTGGCACGCCTGACCTCCAGTAAGTAAAACAAAGTTGGGAATAGCAGGATATAGACCCATCCTGACTGGGAGGAACACCACTACAGGCAGCCTTCTGGACCTATCTGCCCTCTCAGTGACATAAGCAGGAGCATTAGAAGAAGTCCCACCCGTTGTGATGCCCTGCAGATGTTTTGGGCTACAACTCCTACCATTGTGAGGTACAGTGTTGTTGAAGATGGGAGCTGTAATCCAAAACATCTGGGTGGCACCAGATTGGGAAAGCTGGCATAGAAGCTTCTAAGCTCATCACTCCTGCTGTTCCTACAGAGTCACCTAAGGGGGGAAAATATGCCAGGAATATGCTGTATGTGCTTTTGAGATGTGAGCAATCCCTTTTTGGAGAATATTCTTCTGTTTTATTCAGTGGGCATTCCCTCTTTTCTTTGCATCTCAGGATCAGCAGTGCATGTTTGTTAAAGCCTTTCAGCTATATTAGAACCAAAGATGAGAAAGGAATATAACAAAAGATATACAACATTGCAGCAACAACAACAACAACAACAACTGCTGGTCACATATACCCTGATAGCCTTGTCTGCTAAAAATCTTGCAAGTTTGTATTTGTCTATTTTAGGGGGAGGAGGCAACTCATCCACAGTTCTCGAGGTTAACTCTAAAAATATAAAGAACAACGTCAGATTTTAGCAAATGTTAAATAAAACAAGAGCAATACAAAACTGGTTGTCCATTCCCATTCCCATTTGCAAATACCATAGGCCTCTATTGGCTGTGCAAGAAGAGAGATAGCTAAAGTTTGACTGCAGCATTAGGTGTTTGGCTGTAGGTATAGAAGGTGACTTAGGATGCAATCCTATGCATACTTAGATGGAGAAAACTACAACTCCAAGCACTCTCCAGCCAGCAGAGAGTTGTAGGACCTTTTTCTGTTTAAACATAAATAAGATCGTGCCCTTATTTAGCTAAAACATTGGCCTGTCTTTCTATAACCAATGGCATTCCCTGGGCAGCTGGCCATTTTTATAAGAACATTGGAAATGCCATGCTGGGTCCGGCTAATGGTCCATCTAGTCCAGCATCCTGTTCACATAGTGGCAAAAGAGCTGCCCAAAGGAGGCCTCAGGATGGATGGGTACAAGAATACCACCTGCCCAAGCTCCTCAGCAACTAGTATACACAAGCATAGCACCTTTGATAACTGAGGTAGCACTTAGTCAGCAAGGCTAGTAGCCACTGATAAGCTTCTTCTCCATGAATGCCATTTCCCTTTTAAAGCCATCCAAATTGGTGGCCATGAGTACTTTCTGTGCCAGTGAATTCTATATTTTAACTATGCACCAAATGGATAAGAACTTCTTTACATACGTCCTGAATCTCCCACCAGCCAGTTTCATGGGGTAACCTTCTAGCATTATGAGAGATGGAGAAAAGTGCCCTCCTCTCCTCTTTCTCCCCAGCATGCATCTTTTTAAACACCTCTACCATGACTCTCTTTATCTTTTTTCTGAACTAAACAATCCCACTTGTTGTAACCATTCCTCCTGGGAAGTTGCTCCAAGCCCTTCATCCTTTTGGCTACCTTCTCTATACTTTTCCAACTCAGTAATGGCCTTTTCAGGTGTGGTGACCAGAACTATGTACTAAGGATGTGTGAGGAATGCATTTGGGGGTGGGAATCCACCTGGAATCAGCTCCCCCCAGACTATGGTCCTCTTTGGCATGGCAATGCGTCCAAGTTCCCCAGGAATCGACCCCATGTGAACTCTGCACAAGCGGCAACCCTCTTCCACATCCCATGCCACAGCCTTTGTCTGTGCCGCTGCATTTGGCATGGAAGAAGGTTGCTGGTTGGGCGAGCTTTGTCCTGCAAATGCTAGAGAGATGGATTCCAAGGAGCATCAGTGGAACAAATACAGTCATACCAATGCTTTGTATGCAGGGACTGCAATCTTGGCAGTTTGGTTTTCAGCTGCAGTCCCAATTCTGCCTAAGATGGAGATTGTCTTTATACAGCAGCTACACAGCAGGTCAACATTTTTCATCAAACTGTCCACCTGCACTCCAAGATCCCTTTCTTGATCAGCCACTGCTAGCTCAGATCTCATTATTTTGAAGGAGAAGCATAAGTGCCTGCAGTAGGGCTGATCCAGGATGCAGTAATGAAGCGCATGCTGGTTTCCCACAAAACATCTCCACCACCAGGTTGCTCTTTGTCATATAGCTTAGTCTTACTGTACAGCAACTTCTGTGACAAACAGCAGTGGATGTGGGTTGATTTGGGTTGGGAGTCACATGAGAGCCAACCCTAGCATATGCACTAGGGCTGAGGGACAATGGTGGCAGGAGAGGCCAGAAAAACAAGTGGAAACTGGAGTTTGGGGCACTGTGTGAATTTCCCTGCAATGCACAACCTAATTATTATCAGTTTAATCTCCCATATTGTCCAGTAAATTTGCTCCCAAAATAATAACAGGAAGCATTTAAAGACCCAGACTTAATTACAAGTTTTTCTAGAGCGGCTTTACTCTTTTTTGACCTGATAGAATGAAGCTTTGTTGAGTACTGCTCCTCTTGGAATGTTGCCAAGGGAGAGAATTTGGAAACAAACACATTTACCATGAGGAACATTCCGTGAGTGCAGAAGAGGAATGCCGGGAGTCAGTGCCAGCACTCAGGAAAGGATGCTTTCAGATCTATCCACAATCCTTTTCAGGGCTGTGGAGAGAAATTTGTCATTTTCCCACCACCCCCAGATTTGTTTTTAATTTAACTTCCTTGCAACTACTATCTTGAGTGATTGAACTTAGTAACTATCTTGAAGTTTTCAGTCCCTGCCCACAGCTGGACATTTCCATATGGATCAGAGATGCAGAACTTCAGGTTAGAGGGCAAGTCCAACCTCTTGGGGGTCCCTAAGAGGCCTCCAGGGTTTCCTTTTGTGCAGTTTTCGAAAAGGACGGATGGCTTCTCCTAAGGATTAGTTACTTGAAGACAGAAGCGTTAAGCTACAATAGGGCACTAGCATTTTTTTCCTTTGGTATTTTGATCCTTCCCTTTTAGTCTTCAGCCGCCGCCACCCACCCACCTTCTCACCCACCCCTGGAAAGCCACTGCAAAAGCTTCTCCAGAATGGACTTTGGCCCTTCAGCTGAAAAAGGTTGAGTAACACTGGTGCAGGGCGTGTAAGTTCACATCAACTTTTAAATATTCCATTTGTTTCCTAACAAGAAATGGAGCAGCGGCCCATTCCTTTTAACTAAGAAATTTGGCTTTTCCAGTGATTTCAGGGATCAGTCTCTAATGCTGCAGTGCCACGCCCATTGGTATTTTAACTCAATGGAGGTTCCCTCTGAGAAGACCAATTCATATGGTTTGCATTGTAAAGGTATGTTCCAGTGCAGATTATTTATCCTTGGAAACCTTTTCTCTAACCATTTATCCCTGAATATCTATTCCATTTTATTTATTTTTCATGTTTATTTATTTAAAACGTTTCTATAGCATCCCATCACAAACATCTCAGGATGGTTTACAACAACACTGATAAAATAGCATAAAAATAAAAGTAAGAGTAAAAAATATCACAGCATCCAGTATTCAGTGTAAATTAAAACAATTGAAACAATTTAACAATTAAAACAACTAAAATCAAATTAAAACAATTGAAACAATTTAACAATTAAAATCAAATTAAAACAATTTAACAATTAAAATATGGGGAGAATAAAAAGATTTTCACCTGGAGCTGAAAGGAAAGAAGTATTGGCACCAGGCGAACCTCTTGGGGGGGGGGGAGGTTCCACAGTCAGGGTGCCACCACAGAGAAGGCCCTCCTCCAGGTAGTCACCCTCCTGATCTCTTTCAAGGATGGCTCCTGGAGGAGGGCCTCTGCCTCAGATCTCAGTGGGTGGGAGGGCACATAGGGGAGAAGGCACTCCTTCAGGTATCCAGGATCCAAGCCGTATTTTTGAATGCACATACTATTTTAATTTCTTATAAGAATACATTGCAAGTGCTAATCAGGTTATTTAAAGCTTCTCAATATTTTATGACTACAAAACACTCAAGGGTGCAACCCAACGTACCAGGAAACAGTCCCTGCTGGCATGGAACTACAGGAAGACAATTGTCCAAAGCGAATTTCAGGATTTTTTGAGGAGGGAATTCAGTCTTTGGCAATCCTGTTAGTGGGAAAATAAGTACAGAATAGTGCAATATCTAAGCAATGGTCTATTACTGAAACAAACACAAGGTAGCCTGATATTTTATTTATGTAATATAATGACCTAGTTCACAAGCAATAACAGCCAGGAGTGTGGGTTGAGTATGGGATGTTAAATCCTGGGTTATCGTTATATACAAAGCCATAACTGCAGTTTCACTATGGGGCTGTTAACCACAAACAACCTACACAGAGAAGCTATGTCCTATGGTTTGTTGTTGGATTGTGAACTCTGAGTTCTTTTAACTATGGATTGTTGTTACATTCAGACCCAGAACCATAGGTTTTTCATATGCTCTACATACAATAATGCTGCAAAAGTATTTGGGATATGGAGAGGGTAAAGGCAAAGGAGGAAAGAATCAAACAGAAATCAGATTCTTTCAGAAACTGAAAGAAGAACATTCTTCACATGATCGTTTGGCAGACAAATAATGTGTAAACTCTGGGTAAGGCAACCAACATTCTAGGTTGTTGTTTTGTGTGAACCAGGTTAATTACTGTATGTGTAATTAAGCATAAGGAGTTTTCAGTTTAATCATAACTGAAGAAACACTCCTAAAGAATGGAAACTATAAATCTACAGAAAGCATCTAAAGGCAAGTTTAGAATACAAACTGGAAAGAAATAAGCATTCCTTAAATATTAATTCTTAGTGCTCTGGATGTCAACCTTTGCTCTTTCCCACACATTATATTGTTTATCAGCTAAGATTTTTAAAGACCAGCGTGAAATATCCTTCCCATGTCAAACACACTTTCTGGAGAAAGAGTCTGCCCAATTTGCATACTCCCAAATTTCAATGATTTGGGAGTACGCAACCAAAAGCAAATCATGAGACAAATAACAGTCATCAGATGATTGTCTGTTGACAGTGGCCATTCTTTTTGGTTCTTTCCAGTTTTACCCACAACGTTCCCCAGTGAATGGAGGAAAGATTACCCTCATTCTGATTTGACTCTGCTGCAGGGATGCCAAAGGTTGTGACCTGTGGGCTGTGTGGGCTCCCCATGGTGGCTCCCCAGACCCCTGCCTCTGGGGCAGCAGTGCTGCCTGGCATTCCTCACACAAGCTTGCTAGTGCCACCAAGAGAATGCCCAGCGATTCCCTTGCTAAAACGTGCCTTTAATTATGCGTGTGAGCATTTGTCTGTGTGTGCCACACATGTGCAGCCTGCGGGCATCACCTGATCCAGCCAAAAGAGCTTGTGTAACCTGCCCTGCATGATGGTGCCTCAGTCCAAATCAGAAGGAGGGTGTGGCTTCCTGCCCTTGCTCTGCAGTCTCATGCATGAAAAGAAACAAGTATTGCAGGTTATGGACAATGTGTGAAAGCAGCTGGGGGACACTATCAGCGGCGCAGTTAGGACCGTGAAACTGCTGAAATCCAACTAAGATGAGATGGGGGATGCTTTGCACAACATGCCAAGCCTTGCCCCACACCGTAGCCCCCCCACCCAATCTCTCACTTTCAAGCTGAAAAATAACTTCTGTCTTTGCTCTAGTATACAGCTAAAAATGTAAAGTGAGAACATGACAAAGGTGGATGTTATACAGTTACATGTATCAAAGAGCCAGGATTCGCTGCAGTTCTCCATTGGGTGAACATCAGCAGCATAAATGCAAAGGATCTTTGTGTGAAATGGTAACATCGCCTCCATGCCATTCCCCAGCTGGTTCAGAACAAGTGTGTATTTATTTCAGGGGACTATTTCCAAAATCAGCCAAGTCAGTCGCTCGTCCTCAAGTTTCAGTACCAAGGTACTCACTTCTCTGAACACTTTTCACCAAAGCCAGTCACACTGGGCTCAGTGAATCGTCCTTCAGAATAGACATGCATTGATTCAGGCTGTTGGGAAAACCAGTTTAGGGAAAGTTGGGACACCTTGCACAGTTGTACTTTATATACTGTGAAGTGGAAAGGGTGGAATAAAATTAAAGAGAATTGGCTGTTGGAAATCAGGTTGGGTTCAGATATGGAAGCCTGTGCTTCCAGCCACTTCTGAGTCTTGAATTCACTGGCTGACCCACTGATCTCTTGATGCCATGAGGAGAAGGTGAGAGGAAGCAGGCACTGGGGGAGTGTCCATACTTCTACTGCACCAGTAATGAAAATGGGATCAAAGATGCAGGACTACACGGTCACCTATTAAAGTAGCAAGAAAGATCCTCTCCTCAGTGGCCTGACTTATGTGGGGATGTGATTGTTATATATAATGATTAGGAGCAGTTCTTATCCTTTGATTCTCTTGAGATGTAGAGATCTTGCAGAACACTTATTACATGCCAGCTATTTAAGATTGCCTCCCCACAAAAGAAGCAGCAGAACCCGCCCCCAGGATTTCCAAACACTAACGATTTTCTCCTTCATGTTTGGTTTCTTCATTTATAGGTACCAAGAATGGTTTTCTTTCTACATGAAGCCGGTTCATCCTGTCATTGTTGCTTCACTGCTTTGCAGTAATCCTGCAAATTAAGAACCATATAAAATTGAAACTGAGCATCCACCAGCTACTCATGTGGGACTATTAATGGAAGTCCAGTATTAAAATAGTTTTTATGTTAAGAATTCAACTCGGGCTGCTATAATATGCTTTCTTGGGATGTTTTTCTTTGGAGATCATGCATGCACATACTGAGGAAACCTTCAATTTCCCATGCCATATAATTACATATTCAGGTTGCAAATAAACACTCAGCAGTTAAAAGCATAATCAGAACAAATCCTGTGAAAATGAGCAGGGTTTACTGTCCTCACCCCCAGGATTCCTGCATACCAGGACAAGGAAAATTGTTAGGGAGAACTAAGATGATGACAGGGTAGGGGAAATAAACTGATCTAATTATATATAATTGACATCTTTTGTGTGTGACTTTTAAAGTATTGGATTTGCATATGCTATATTACTACCTTCCTTGAGGCAATAAGAATCCTTGAAGAAGAATCTCTGAGAAAACATGGGAGGGCTACAGGTGGAAATGGATGCCATCTGGACCATCTGTGAACAGGGCAGGAGTATTGCATGATTAAAAGCCTTGTCTAGAAGGACCCCAGTCAGGGAAAATTGGTTTCATGGTGAAGTCCAAGTAAATATGGGCTGAAATTAGGTTCTGCTTAGGGTAACTCAAGCAAGTAGCTTAGCTTGTAGCTCTTTGGAGGCTTCTGGTTGATGTTCTTCTTGTTCCACTGGCCATCTTGCTTCATTCAGAAAATGAATTATGGGGGTCCAGATGTGGTTTCCTACTGCTTCTTCCATTTTTTCCACTTACAGCAGAAAATCCATTAAGAAAGGAAAAGATGGAGTGGGCACAATGCCTTCTTTGCTAGTGGTGCTAGGAGGCCATTGCCTGGAAGCACCCTTTACTAATCCATGACTAAGATATTGTGCTAGTCACAGCCTTGTGAAAATCTATATCCACTTCTAATTTTAATCTGCGCTCTGTTCTCCCCTCCTCAACCAGACTAGCATACAGTGGAATCCTAGAGATGTTGACTTGGTATAAGAGCAGATATAAGACTGCAGCCTTAGCAGGAGGCAAACTTCAGGGGTAAAAACAAGTGTGCTTCCTAGCCCTGAGGGGGACTCTGTCATCCCAGCCCTCCATCCATGTAGCTCTTTGAGGAGGCTGAGGCTGGCTGTCAGGACAAGCACAGGTTGCCCCTTCTTGTGACCTTCCTGACATCCTGGCCAACTTTTGCATGTTGCCTCACTGTGCAACAAATTAGGTAGTCAATAGAACACTTTCTACTTTTCTCTACTGCAGAAGAAGGAGGGGGAAGCTGTGTTTTGCATTTTGTCCATCACGAACATCAGGCAGATCTTTTGAATCACTCCCTAACTGAACTTAAAGCATAACATTGGTTTATATAGTCCATTACCCTCCTTCTTCCTTTGACCCCCTTGCTCTCAAATGTCAAGTATTTCTCTCATGCCCAGGCATCACAAACCAATAGTGCATTGTCTTTAAAAGGCTCAGTAGGAGAATGTTGGCATCCTTGACTTTTCATGTTCAAACTGCAGCCTTACCCTCCTGGGAACAGCAAAGCTCCTCTACTTGGTGACACTTGAAACTGCTCTCTTAGAGTCTCTTACTAACAAAGACCTACCCTCCCTAACTACCATTGTGACCTGGTGGACAGGCAACCCTGTGCATTCTGGGTAGGGGAGCCGTAGCTAAAGGAAGATAATCCCCGGTAGGGGCTGCCCTCAGCTCTTTTTCAAGCTGGATTGTCTTCAGTTTTCTTTATTATTTTGCCTATCAGAGTTGACTTTAGTGGTAGCTAATAGAAAAAAATAGCTGCATACTTTGACAGTAGTCATTCTTTGCAAAAGGGGAATGGGAAGCATGGTGATTCCAAGAGGATTTACAGATCTCAGTTCAAATGCTTAGTGCTCCTTTATTATGCTGAAACTGCCTAGCACTGTTCTTTGCTGTCCTAGCACTGTGTCTACTGCTGCCCCGCCATGTTTCTGGGATACATGTTTGGTTGAGTGCTTCCACTTATACTAATGTACTAGGAATGTCTTAGACATTACAGATGCAATAATACATGTCTGGCTTCTACTTTGACTTGGACCTTTGACCTGCTGAGGAGTTCATATTATATTGGAGAAGTCTTGCACTGTATTTAGTCCCCACCTCTTCAAATTGAGAGACATGTTCTGTGTGAGAACCCTTAATATTGTCTTCTGAACCAGGATCTATGCACAAGAAGTCTCCACTTCTTGAAAACTAATCAGGCATCTAAAGTGTATCTACTAGAAAGTATAGAAATGAAACTTTCTGATTGCTTGGATACAAACTATTTTGAAATGTTTAAATTTGCATACTATATTGCCTCAATGTATTTCTCTTTCTATAGGGAAGTTGTAACTGTTGATGTGCTGTGTTTATAGAGACAAATGCTTGAAAGTATGATAGACTTGTTACACTTAGGTTCATTGCTTTGACTTGGTGTCTACATTTTGGAAAGCTATTTTATATTTTGCTTTCTTGTTTTCTAACTATGCATGAAGGCCTTCATCCATAGAGTTCATCGTGCTTACTTCTCAGTTTAGATAGAGTTTGAAAATGTAGCCCAGATTATCCAGTGCCTTGGATGTATTTTTTTAATGACAGCCATAAATGTGCTATATAGAAACAATGAGTACACTGTTATATATTTCCCTCATTTTTCATTATCTCAAAAGTAAAACGTGAGGCAGGCATCAATACTCCTTTTTTCCACAATACAGTTTGCTTCATTTCTAGGTACAATATTCAAGGACCTAGTTATTACCTGTAAGTTCTAACGAGTTTGAGATCAGGATATCTGAGAGACCACCACCATCCCACTCTTGTCAGTGGCTTTGCTCTACAACTTAAAACCTCTGGTGGAAGCAGTGACTGACATCCAATGTGAGACATAGCCTTTAAGGTAATGCCCCCCTGGATACAGAATGGAAACAGAAAACCTGCAGTCTACAATGGGGAGTAGGGTTGTTACTGTCTAGCAAGAAACTTCTTCTCCTTTTATAGCTGGCCATGATAGGAAGACATTTAAGCTACACTTTACATGCCTGAAAGTTGTTGTACTGGAGATTATTCTGAGTACACCTGCATATACTTAAACTGAGTTATGCTTGGCTGAAAAACGTCTCCATGAGGAATATTTATTTATTTATTTATTAAAACATTTCTATGCTGCCCCATTTGCCAAAGCCACGGGGCAGCTCACAACATAAAATAAAATACAACAAATAACAATATAAAATAAGTCGCCCTGGCCAGATAAAATAAGCAAATAATATTAACAATTAAAATAACGCTTAAATAAAAAGGTCTTCGCCTGGCACCGAAAAACAAATAATGACGGCACCAGGTGGACCTCTCTGGGGAGCGCATTCCATAGATTGGGCACCACAGCAGAGAAAGCCCTCC